CCATTTTCAGGTCAATATTATTAGCCCCTTTAAGCAATATTTTTTTCGATAGTCTACAGAACAAACCATCATCATACAATAACTTGCCTAATTACCCTAACCTGCCTAGTCACCCTAATTAACCTCTTTGAATGTCACTTTAAGCTGTATAGAAGTGTCTTGAAGAATATCTAGTCGAATATTATTTACTGTCATCATGACAAAGGTAAAATAAATCAGTTATTCGAGATGAGTTATTAAAACTATTACATTTAGAAATGTGTTGAAGAAATCTGCTCTCTGTTAAACATATATATATATATGTATATATATATATATATATATATATATACACACACACACACACACACACACACACACACACACACACATATAATACAATAATTTAAATAAGAGTATTATTTACGTTTACAGACGTGTGTGTGTTTCTTTGAGCCTCTGCTACACACACAGAGCGACTGATCCAGGTTCAGGTCGGTACACCTTCATTATTATAACATTGTTTGTGTGTCAGAAATGCAGTGTGGAATGTGTGCATGTTTGTGCATGTGTGTGTGCATGCATGTTTGTGCATGTGTGTGTGTGTGTGTGTTATCAGTAGGCCCATTCGAAATCGGCAGATCTTTTTGCTCAACATTGAGTCTATTTATTTGCTTACTTAAATGTGTGTAAATAAATATTCAGCCGTTTTTTTTGTATTAATTTGAGCAATCTTATTGACAGTATGCTAATGTTTATGTGCTTGTTTTATAATGCAGTTTGTAAAGTAATATTTTTTGTCTTTTAGTAGAGATATTATATGAGAGACGTGCTTTGTTTACCAAACAAGTGAAGCGAATTAGATTTGCATTGAAAGGCTTAAATTATTATTACACATATTCATTTATTTTCCATTTGGCTTAGTCTCTATTTCAGGGGTCGCCACAGCTGAATGAACCCCCAACATATTCCAGCATGTTTTACACAGCTGATACCCTTCCAGCTGCAACCCATTACTGGGAAACACCCATACACACTCATTCACACACTCACACACTAGGCCAATTTAGTTCATCAATCCCCCTATAGCGCATGTGTTTGGACTGTGGGGGAAACCGGAGCACCCTGAGGAAACTCACACCAACATGGGGAGAACATGCAAACTCCACATAGAAACACCAACTGATCCCGAATCTGCTGATTTTTATTTACATAATTCTGCACAGAAATAGCAAAAAAATGTCCACAGAATCTGTCTGGCGCTGATCATCAGAGTTTACTCGCTCTGTCTGAAGCGTTTAAGATACTGCACATATTCATGACTGATATGGACTTGTTTTTCTGACCTACACAGACATTGACTAGAGATATGGTCCCATTCTGCAGTTGCAATGCTTTAATGCAGGGTTTTCATATATACAGTGGATAAATGAGCACACCTATTTTTGAACATGAATAGTTTTATCCACTTCTCAGTGAATATAGAGAATATATTTTGGTGCATTTGAAGAAATCAGTTTTATTAAACAGTTACATTATTTTTAATAAGAGTTTGCTCACCAAACATCTTTGGGAATAAAAAAGATAATATATTTACATTCATTTCCCAACTATATTTAATATATTTTTTATGTTTCTCTTGCTTTTTCCTGTTTATTAAAATTGTATTTAATATTTTACCCCAACATTTTCACTTGTGTGTGCTTATTTTTGGACTGTAATACTAATGTCTACTGACTAACCTAAAATATATGCACTGTACTGTACTGTAAAGCATCCTGTAGGAAATATGAATGTAAAAGAGATCTGTTAGGGGTCATCTCAATCATTCATTCATTTTTCTTCGGCTTAGTCACTATTTTTGAGGGGTCGCCACCTATTTGACTATCCCAGCATGTTTCACGCAGCTTCCAGCTGCAACCCAGTACTGGGAAACACCCATACACACTCATTCACACAAACACACACACTTCGACCAATTTAGTTAATCAATTCCCTTATTGGCATGTTCTCCCTGTGTTGGTGCGAGTTTCCTCCGGGTGATCCGGATTCCCCTACAGTCTAAACACATGCGCTTTTGGTTTGGACTGTGGGGGAAATCGGAGCACCCAGAGGAAACCCACGCTAACACAGGAAGAACATGCAAACTCCACACAGAAACACCAACTGACCCAGCAGGGGCTTGAACCAGTGACCTTCTTGCTGTGAGGCCACAGTGCTAACCACTGAGCCACCGTGCCACCCGGGGTTAACTAATTTAAGCTGCATTTTTTTTTGTAATGAAAACCTGCCAACACATTTTTGTTTTATTTTTCTGCAGATAAGATAAGGCGTATTGTGGTTATTAAAAGCGCTTCAGGAGTGGTAAAGTCCTGACGTGACTCTGTTTATGACCCGAGGCCAGTAAAATCATTCATAACTCTCTGTCAGGTGCTTACTATCATGGTGAATCTCATTAAGCCTGTCAAGGTCAGGCTGTATTTGACAAAAATAAATAAAAATACATAAACATGTACAGTCTAGCCTGAAATGATTCAATACCCCAGGCAAATTCTGAGTTAAAGATTTGGGGCCTCATGTACGAAGACTTGCGTGGAAATCTTACTAAAACATTGCGTACGCACAAAGCTGTAAATGTGCGTACGCAGAAAAAATTTCAGATGTATGAAACACTGCGTACGCCGAATCCCACTCATATTCTTTTGTACATCCGAATGAACGTGAAACTGAGCGCAACATGCACGAGCACAAAACCCCTCCCTGCCTCCTCCCCCGTATGAATATGCTAATGACTATGCTAATGGCAAAACCCAACGAAAAAGCAACGGCAAAATCAAGCAAAAAGAGAAACTTTGAACAGAATGTGAATTAGAGGTGCTGCTTTTGAAGGTAGACCGGAGTAAAGCGGTGTTATTTGCAAGTTTGTTCTCCGGAATTAACAACAAAAGAAAAAACTAGAGTGGGAGAGTTTAGCTGATGCGGTTAACACAGTTGGGTCTGAACATCGCACTGAGAGTGAATTAGAAAAGAAATAGTGTGGTTTATATCTGTAAAATGTTGCAGTACCCTTAACAGTCTCAGTGGCGCAGTTCGTAAAACGCATGTCAACATGTTTTGACACGTTGGAGCATGAACTCGGCTCGAATCCAGCGTCTGATGAACTCTTTCTTCTTTTTTCCCCCGCTACATATCAGATTTTGCCAACTATTTATCACGAGAAAGACAAGTAGGAATCACTAATAAGTTTGTGCATCATATTTTATTTGCACATTAATTGAATGGAAATGTTTCTGATTCACGCATGCAAATTCATCTTCAGATAGTGTCTTTATAGCAATGTGCGTGCAGTAGATCGCTCAGATTACATTGGGAAAACAGGCGACCGCTGCAAATTGTGCTTTAATGTTTGGTTGGTCAACTGTATGGTATGGAAACCTTATATACCTGCTAGATGAACCCGTCTCATACAGCTGCCATTGCAAGGCTCAAAGACACTTTGTAGAGAGCAATTTAACACAACTGCCTCTAGGAGTCACCATTGGAAATAAAACAGACACGCACAAAAAATGTGCGTACGCCAGCTCAACTGAAACACAAAGAAAGGGCGGGACATAGTGTAGGTCCCCCCTTTTAAAACGTTTCGTTTCTCTCGCAGCTCTGCCAGTGAGAATGGATGAGCGCAAGCGCATCAAATGAAAAGCCAGTGAGAAGAGGGGGTCGGGGCATGTTAGACACTAGAGGGCATTTGATTGGTCAGAAGATTTGATGAGAAACTGAAGTATGAAGTGACGGCAATAAAATCATGGATCCGTTTAGGCAGAACTGCAAATTTGGGATGTTTATATTTTCTAAACGTAAATTTTGTGCACATTTAAACATAAGTGTTAAACACTGTGGCTCACGGCAAAAAGGAGTTTGCATGTTCTCCCTGTGTTGGCGTGGGTTTCCTCCAGGGGCTCCGGTTTCCCCCACAGTCTAAACACATGCGCTATAGGGGAATTGATGAACTAAATTGGTTGTAGTGTATGTGTAGGTGTTTTCCAGTACTGGGTTGCTGGCTGGAATGGCATGTGCTGCGTAAAACATGCTGGAATAGTTGGTAGTTCATTCCGCTGTGGCGACCCCTGATGAATAAAGGGACTAAGCCAAAAGGACTAAAATATTGTTATAGATGTATGAAGTAATTATAGATTAACAAATGAATTAATGCATTATTGATAGAATAAATGAATTATTGAAGGAACAAATTTAATAAATAAAGAAGGAATGCATGAATAAAAAATGAATGCATGAATGGACAAATGTGTGCTGGCATCTTGCTTAATATCTAGTAAAATAATATGTACTGTCATCATGGCAAAGATAAAGAAATGATTATAATTTTGCCCAAATTATTGGTATACATACATGAAGTAATTATACATTATATAACATTTTCAGTGGTGTTTATTATTTGCTTGCATGTATTTTTATTTTATATAATCTTATATATCCTTTTTTAAATTGACAAAAACTGCCATATTTGTGGGTGAACTGGCTTCATTGTCATGATAATATTCAGAAATAGACATTATTCATTTATTTATCTATATATTTTATATAGACAGATAACACCTATATATAGTTGTTAAGTAACAAAGTCCCTGTTATTCCATTTCAGTTTTGGTGTAGTGTCGAATCATTGGAGTCTCTGAATCCATACAGTGAATCCATAATATCTATAGGTTCAGCCTCATCTGATGCAGTCTCTGTATTGATCTGCTCTGAATCGATCAGCATGATTGATCAGCATGAACTGAACGCCTCATCGATTGTGAAATGTTTGATCGATTCTGTCATGGCTTGTGGAGGAAAGTGGAGCAATATCGTCATCAGTTCAGTTTGAGTGCTGCTGATTTTAATAGCATTAACCAAATTAATAAAATAATTTAAAAATTACATGAAAAAATTAACCTGTGTATACATAACTTCTCATCTAAAACAATGCTATTTGTAATTGCATTAGTCGTAATAAATATAATCTATAATGTAAAATAAGCAAAAAACAAATCTCTGCATGGGTCGAAATTATGAAATTATATATATATATATATATATATATATGTGTGTGTGTGTGTATATATATATATATATATATATATATATATATATCTCGGGGAGGCAGTGGCGCAGTAGGTAGTGCTGTCGACTCACAGCAAGAAAGTTGCTGGGTCGCTGGTTCGAACCTCGGCTCAGTTGGCGTTTCTGTGTTGAGTTTGCATGTTCTCCCTGTGAGATGTTAAAAATAAGCCAGTT